CTTTATCCACCACCAATGATCCAGGTGTGTGGCATTGAGTCATAGGCTTTCTTGTAATCAATCCAAGCGCTATGATGCCTGACATGAGCTTCCATGTTGTAGAGAGACAGCTTATCGGCCGATAGTTGGGTGGGACTGAACCTTTTGAGGGATCCTTCTGGATCAGGATCTGCTTTTTTCACCAATGCTGAAAATGAGACCTTATGCATGAGGTGCCAAGCGTATGTGTTCCTAGACTTGCATGTCTAAATAGATCAGCCATCTTACCATTTGGCCTTACAACATGACAGACTTTTCCTCTTTTCTTTAGTTTGAACATAAAGGATGAGAATAATCTGGAGGATCTGTTGCTCTAGGTGGGTTGAGAGTCTGGACTTAACTGTTAAAACTATTCAGACTGACTTTGCACACAAAACCTTTGATTTTTTTTGCCAAACAGCAGTTCCTAGATTTCAGTTGGAGAATCTTTGGTAACAATTTATTAGAATGGGGATGAATAAGACTGACAAGACACTGTCATAAACACCTGTCATGAACATGAATGAGTCTTCATGAATATTTGACTGTTTTCATAAAGCATCATTCGGTAAATCATGACACTTAATACAAAATTGACATTATTGAAAATGTTTTTGTTATGACAACTTGACATTACCCAAGACAACATCATTGTCATGACAACTTGACATTAAGCAAGAAATTATAACTTGTCATGAATGTAATAACAGGTGAATTTATTGGCTTATAAGGCTTACATCCTTATAAGACAGCATTAACAAGTCATGAACATTTCCAGTTAGCTCAAGTAAAGTGGACCACACTTACTTGAGGTAACTGGAAATGTTCATGACTCTGTCATTAAAGCAATAGAGTAATGACACTCAATGACATCTTCATTACTACTGTGATACACTTTAAAACAGAGGAGAGATAATGTCACAATTATAATGGTCTCATTACAGCAAAAGGTATGTGTAACAACAAGTGACTTGTTAATGCTGTCTTATAAGGATAACATTTTAAAATTCACCTGTTATTACATTAATGACAAGTTATAATATCTTGCTTAATGTCAAGTTGTCATGACAATGACATTGCATTGGGTAATGTCATGTTGTCATAACGAAGACATTTTCAATAATGTCAACTTTGTATTAAAAGTGTCATGATTTACCGAATGACACTTTGACAACAGTCATAAATATTCATGAAGACTTATTGATGTTCATGACAGGTGTTATGTCATGAGTGTTATGTCATGTTTATGACAGTGTCATGTCAGTCTTATTCACCCCCCTTCAAATAAAGTGTTACCGAATCTTCCAAAACCAACAGGCTGTAGTCATACCCCCCTTTGTTTTTGATAAAATCATAACCTAATCATTGTTTCACATACGACCTGATACCTGCTGCTGTGTTATCAAGGAAAATAATCTTAATACAACACATTCCCTAAATAAAATTATTGCAGCATGGTGCTTTTTAAAAAGCCATAGTAGAGGAGGAACTAACTGGAACAGTTACAGAATATTACATCATGTTCCTACTGCCTGTATCAGATATTTTTGTGTGACGGTCTGTGTGGATGTGAGTGTGTGGAATGTGCTGGAAGAAGTGATAATGTGCTGAGGGGTCAAGTGAGAACATTAAGGTTGGTTTGAGAGTCTCTGTAGCTGCTTGAGAGTTTTGATTCACCTTATACCCAATAATGACTCCATTCCTTTGTGCCTCAGGAAGAGCAGACCAGGTGAGCATGATCCTGGAGGAACTCACTGCCTCGGCGGTTACATTTTCCGGAGATCTAGACGGAGCTGGAAAACAGACAAAGAAAAATGCGCACAAATACGCCGCTCAGTGCCTCTTGACTCTCTGAACCAATCTTCGATTTTACCTCAGTCATCTCTCTCCCTCTCTCCATCAATCTTCCCCTCTGTGAAATTGAGGGAGCAAGTAAAGGCCAGAGAGAGGTGGCAAAATGAGAGGAGGACACAGAAAAGTAATTATACCACTCTATTTTTCATCCATCTGCCTTCTTATGCCCAGCAAGTAATATGTCAAACTCATATCAGTTGAATGCTTAAAAACAGGAGTGAATGAGTTCTCCGTTTGTACCAGACTCTGCGGTGCGTGCTGAGAGCGTTTGGCTCCATGGTCCTGGTCCTATGGAGTTCGAGGCCTGCATCTGAACCTGGTAGTGGGTCCAGGGACTTAGCCCCTCTACTGTAACTTCAGTGGTTCCAACTCCACCCTTTATGTCCTCAGTTCTGTCCTCCCCATCTCCATCTGTCCTCCAAACACGGATCCGGTAGCCCACAGTCTCTGGACTGCTGTTGTACTCTGACTGCGGAAGAGGCTGAAAGAAAGCAAGCAGTTAGAGACTGAGGAAAAGAGCAAGTCTGATGTGTTAAGCTTCACTTGTTATTGCAATGCTGCCTCCTTTGTAAAAAATAAAACAACCGATTGCATCAGACTGAAAGAAAGCATGTGCTCAGAGGATCACTATTTTGTTTTCAGGAATATTTCTGAGACATTTGGGATTACATTTTATCCTTAATCTTAGTATTGACCAAACAGATTATTTCTGTTGTCTGCACTCTTCAGCTACACAGTTCCTTTAACAACGACTGTACTAAAGTTATGCCCAAAATTATTCATACCACTGACAGAATTAGATTCAAGATTAGTGTCTGAAAATAATTTAGATCTGCATCTCTCAAAAGATAATGAAACAATATAAAAACATATATATTTTGATAAGAAAAAATAATCAGTTTTTAATAAAATTTTATTTGAAAATGCAATCTTGCAAATAATATTTATCGTCCTTAAAACAAACAAGCCATTCATGTTGGTAAAACTTGAAAGATTACTTTAAACATATAATTCTGGACTTAACCATACGTATTCCTTCTTATCCTCCGTATATTGCACTCGATCTGAAATGTGATTTTGCTACCACTTCCTAAAACTATTTCTGTATCATGCATTTCATTTTTTTCAGTCTGCTGCAGCCAGAGACTGGAATGAAGTAAAAAAAAAAAAAAAAAAAAATCCCAAAAATGAATATTTTACTCCCCAAAGAAGTTTTTAAACTTTTAATCAAAGAGAA